GACTACCCATGAATCTTGACCAGGAGGACAAGGCAAACTGAGTAGGGCAGAGAATCAAGCAAGACCACGATCTCAAACATAACAAATGCAGCCAAAAGAGTCCGACAATATAATGCAGTGATTTACAAAGTGTTGGCTCAGCCCCCTAGTGGGCCATGAAGGCACTGCAGATAGGCCGAAGTGATACAAATTCATTCTGATGAACAGTGACATATATTTATATACAAAAATCAATCAAAACTGGTAGTAGGAGTGGTTTAGTTTGTGATATTAGTCATTACTCTGACCTACATTTACTGCTCTTGCATTAATAATATTAATGTAACTGTAAGGAAGAGGACTCCCTTACTGCATTTATATTATATTATATGTATAGCACTTTGGAGCACACCTTTCACTTTATTAAAAGCACCTTATCAAGCACTTTATGAGCATTGCACTTTAAGCATGGATTTGCACACAAGCAGTTTAAATATTTATTGTCTATTTATTGGGAATTTTAAAATCAGTTGGTAGCCTTGTTTCAGATCCTGCACAGCTGCTCCTCGTCAAGGAATGTGGTGGTTGTCTGTCAGGAGAGAAGAATGGTGATTGAGATTGTGATTAAGGCTGACCAGTAAGGAAAACTAATGCAAATTTGTGTGTGAAATCTAGGGATAAAATTGGTGCAAATAAGTGTAAGATAATGATTACTCACCTTTCTTGCCTGTCTCCTCTTCAAGGTGTTTGGGCAAATGTTTCCCTGGGGGTCCAGACACCATTTAAAGGTTCCGGGAGAGACCATTGGTAAAGAGAGTGTGGTGACTCTTGTTGTGCTTGGGTTTCTGGGTTTTTATAATATTGGGTTTGGTGTAACATTAAGTGTGAAATATTTATTAATATGTAAATGTGAAAATGTATTTATGTATTTATTTATTCTTATTGATATATTGTATACTGTGGTGGAAGGTTGGGATTTAAGAATTTACCTGAGAGTGGAATAATGGTTTAGTCTGTGAACATATTTAAGGCTGCCAGTTGTCATTAGAGGTGGATTTTTGTGCTGTGAAGAAGCTCGACAAGTTAATTGTTGTAAGGAGAGCTGTATAGCAAATAAATACTTTGTTCCACTACATTTGCCTCGGTCCATCTCACTGTGTTTCCAGCCGCTAAGGGCCGCCCTGTTACAGTAACATTGCTTCTTTGTACACTGGCACAAAGTCAGTTTTAAGGGGAAGAGAAGAAAAATTGTAGGTAAGGTCCACTCCTCCATATGAACACTCCCATCCCATTCCATCTGTCTGGCAGAAATTTGTAGCCAGCAGCCTGTAAGATTTATGTTTTTTGCATACAAAGGAAATGCATCACTTTATGTTGTATTTTGATTAGATTGAGGATTTTCTGGTTTTAGTGATGCAGCACTCTTGACTCTTGGAAATGGCTGGTATACAGCAACAACATGGCAGTGATTGACAAGACAAGTTAGTGTGTGTGTGTGTGAGTGTAATAGAAGCATCAGCTGGAGTTTAAAATGGCCTGTATTTATATAGCGCTTTTTCTAGTCCCTAAGGACCCCAAAGCGCTTTACACAACCAGTCACACACACATTCACACACTGGTGATGGCAAGCTACATTGTAGCCACAGCCACCCTGGGGCACATTGACAGAGGCTGCCGGACACTGGCGCCACCGGGCCCTCTGACCACCACCAGTAGGCAACGGGTGAAGTGTGACACAACGACCGAGACTGTCCAAGCCGGGGCTCGAATCGGCAACCTTCCAATTGCAAGGCAAACTCCCAACTTTCACATTATGAGCTTCAGAACGCACCGGAGGAGGACCTTGAAATTTGAGAGATGTAGTCATTGAATGCATTTTGTGCCAAAACAATGACAACTGATCCTCAGTTTAGCCCACATAGACTTCTGTTGTGCTCACTGTGTGAAGAGTTTTGCAAAAGTGACCTAAGTATTGAGAAATGTGTCCTAGCGTCTGTAAAAAACTGTAATTCATGTTATTTTCATGTTATTCAGTGAATACTAAAAATTGCGTGCTCAGATAAAGTTAAGGCTACTTACTATAAACAGTGACCGGTAACACTTTTGTACACTGATCACCATCACGGGAATTCATATAACACATTGCTTCTGGCACAGAGTCCATTTTAAACAGAAGAGAAGTGACGCCCAGGGTAAGGTCCACTCGAGACTCCCATCCCACCCATTCCTTCAGTCTGGTCAGATGATGAGGTGCAGTTTGCTGATACTGCAAACCTTACCACAACTCTAGGAGTGCTAAGTTCTAATGGACAGGAAGTGCTCACAGGCTTTCCTAGAATGATACAGGAAAGCTTAACATAGGCATACAGTATGATACAGCAACATTTAAATTCGGCATGTGGTCAAATAGTAACAATTAAAAATAATAAAATGATAAATTTAGCACATTATTTCAGCTCTGCTGGTATTCTGGATGCATGGATACATTAATTTGCATATCTTTTTAATATTTAGGCTTTGATTTTACTGTGAATTTTCTTTTCTGATCACTATGGTAATGTTTTGCTGTGAAACATAGCTAACAGACCTAGAGGAGCAAGATTTACAACTGCAGAAGCTCTAAGACTGAATAATGTCCAAATGTGTTACGACCCTCCCACTCTCAACAAAACACCGCCTACTGTTTTCTGTTGGCTGGTGTGAGAGGATCATCAGCTAATGCAGCTCAACTGTGTCTTCCAGGACTGTTACTGTTTATACTTTTTTAGGCAATGTTGTTAATTGTGCTATGCAGTATGGATTAATACCCATTGTCCGCCATGGGGACTTACACTTTACCATAGTTGATGTTAGAAACTTTTAATCCTTTACAGGATTTTCATTTTCTCAACCAGAGTGAATTGGTGATACTGGGACAGGAGGTTGAAGTTGCAGTATAATTCTAAAACATTTAATTTCATCTTAATTTCAAAAGCTACAGATGACAAGAACGAAGACTAAACCTAAACTGGGCGAAACTAAACTATGATTACTATGACTATAACAAAACTGTGACGACATTGATACTGATCTGAAGATGATGGTAAGCAGGAGCATGAGGGAAACTGTGAAGGGATACACCCAAGACTGAACACCATCATGAAACACACTAACATGACATGGGGGATGACAACAGACGACCTGACACAGACCGAAGGGAAACACACTGACTAAATGCATACAAGGAAGTGACCACACATGGGGAAACGCTGACACAAATTAACATGACACCACAGGAGGAAGTGAAACTAAACACAACAAGCAATGAACACAAGACTCTTTCAAGATAGAACAGGAAACATGGAGACGTAGACATGACACGAACTTGACAACAAGAACAACAAGAACCACACATACATGAAACATGACAGGTAGACACACGAACCAGGGAGACGACGAAAAAGGGATCTAAGAAACAAAAGACTAAAACAGCAACTAAATGAGCTAAACTGAAATGAAAACACAAAAAAAGGTACATTAAACTCAAAAACTTGGTCACACGACCCAGTATCTTGACAGGCAACAAAGGCAGTGATGAGCAGACCGGCTTATAACATTGTAGCCTGTATTTGTACTTGTATGTGAACTGTAGCCACAGTCTTACTTTGCTAGCCGTTAATTATGGGACAGTGCACTTCAGGTCATTTTACTGAGTAACAGGAAAGGAATGTAATACTTTCTTTGTTAAGTAATTAATTAATGTACATGTATGTACCCTAACCCACGTGCATTACTTTTAAGAAAAATAATGAGTAATGTGTAGCAAGCCCAACAAAATTGTTATAGCATAACATCCTCAGTTTAACCAGTACATTTTTCTAATAGTTTAACAAGCCCTCTTTTAGATGAAATGATCAAATCATAGAAAATAAAAAATTTAAAAAAAGAGTGAATGTTACCACCTTGAAATGACTGAAACGTAGGAATGAACCAGACCTTACACTAATTCCTCAGCTGTGTGCAAAATACAAGTTTTTGAGCATGTTTAGACCCAAAAAATGCATTTTATTTCCATTAATAATAGTTAAATTGATGAGTGGAGTAATTAAAACCAGAGATTTCCAATTTCAGTGCTTGTCCCCTCTTAAGAAATGGGGATGGAATTAAATTTTTTTTAAAATCATATCCAAATATGAGTTTTTTATGATTACATTACAACAACAGATTACAACAAAACACACTTACTTATCTAAGCATTGAAACTGCTCAAAATTAAGAACCAAATCAAGTTTTCACCAAGCGTGCATACAAGGAAATTAAAAATAAAACTTTCCTCCGTTTTGTGGTGCAGAAAACAAGTCAGCTCATTTCCTGATTTACACATTTAAAAATATGTGTATGTATATGTATATATGTAAGCGCGTACGTGGAAATATGTGTGTGTATGTATGTACGCCTGCATACATGTGTATATACATATATGTATGTATGTGCGTGTATGTTTGCAGGGGTATGTATAACTTGTACATATTTTTCTTGTGTAAATGTAAATTTGTCTGTGATTGTGTAAATACTTATGCTATTGCGTACTTCACACACATGGAGAAACGCCAAACAGCCTTTCATTGTTCTTGTAACAGTGACAATAAAAGCTGTTCTATTGTATATCTAAAAGTTGTAAAGATGTGTGTGGATCATACATTAAATTGAGCACATGAAAAGATGTGAACATGCAATAAAATGTCTTGCATTTCCTGTTTTCTGAGAGAGAAAAACACAGGCGTGCGTAAAGACTTGATAAAAATCACAAGTGGTTTTCTAAAATTAGAATTAGAAAAAGTTTCAGTTGACAGTCAGAGGCAAATTTGTTCCTTCTTATTTCTGTCCAGCGAAAAGTTAAAATAAATGAATAGCTGAGGATGATATCTGATTATTAATCTGTTTTGTTTATACACATGTTTACACTCACAGCGTTGCTGTTAAACACGTTTCTGCTAGATTAAATTTGTTTGTTTGGACAGCAGTCTCTTGATTAGTGGAGCTTTAGCGATAGCTGACAAGATGGTGCATTTTTTCAGCTACAGCTTTAAAACAAGCATGCACCCATTCAAATTTGTTTTATACTGGTACTGATGAGGTGGGTTGTCCTTGGAGATAGTCGCCTTTCTTGCATGAAAATATGCCTCTGTGTGTCGTAAAAACTAGAAAAGCAAGGAAGAGCAGGAGTCCAAAGGCCACAAGTAGTCTGACTATTGTTGCGATGATTGTTTGATCTCCTGTGAGAGATGGGAAAGTTTATTACATAAAATCAATCGCAAATCCCAAAATAAAGATTTAAACAGACAAAGAACTGCCAAGAACTTACGTGGAGCTTTGGTGATGATGAAGTATTTGGTCACAGTGCCCTGGCTGTTTGAGGCGGTGCAGATATAGACCCCTGGAAACTTAGATGATGGAGTCAAAATAGGATGATTCACATCATGACTCCTGTACCACACTTGTGTAAAGTTTGGGAACTGCCAGTGGTAGGATGGTACTGGATTTCCTCTAGCTGTACAATTTAAAGATATTTTGCTCCCAACTGTCATTTCCAAATTCTCATTTGGATCATTGGTGAAGGTTGGTGGGTCTGAGGACATCCAATCAAAATACAGACAAAGAAAGAAAAGCTCATTTTTTCAGTATGAAATTTTGTGGTGATTAAATTAAGAGCATGTTAAAAACTCACAGAGTACATTCACATTATGAGCTTCTGAACGCACTGGAGGAGGACCTTGTTCCTTTGGCCACAGGTTCAGCTTTGCTTCACACCAGATCTCAGCTCCATCATCATCTCTATGAGCAGTCAGAGTGAGGACAGATGACTTACTGACTGGAGATGGACTGGACTCATCAAATGTCTGAGAAGACAAGATCTTATTTCCTTTGTGCCAAACTACTGAAAGATTTCTTGCTGGTGCAACATTAACAACATCACACTGTATGGCAAACTGTCGGCCTTCTTCCACTGTACGTAAATTCTTCAGAGACACACTGTCTGGCATTTCTGAAAAAGAAAATAATTTAAAAAATAATAATAAAATGACTCAAAGTTAATCAGTGAAAATATAATAACGATGACCTTCTTAGAAATGTTAAACCAAGTTAAGGCTACTTACTATAAACAGTGACTGGTAACACTTTTGTACACTGATCACCATCACGGGAATTCACATAACATATTGGCTCCATCTTCCATTCTGGCACAGAGTCAATTTTAAAGGGAAGAGAAGTGACATTCTGGGTAAAGTCCACTCCTCCATATGTAGACTCCCATCCCATTCCTTCAGTCTGGTCAGATAGTGAGGTGCAGTTGGCTGAGAAAGAGTCTCCAAATCTCACCACAACTCTAGGAGTGGTTATGTCAAATGGACATGAAGTGCTCACAGGCTTTCCTAAAAATAAATAAATAAATAAAATAAAACAATAATACTGGGAGTAAGGGACTTAAGGCGTGTGATGAGTTTCACTCTACCATCTGAGTTAGGTGAATGTTAATGTGAGTGCAAATGGTTGCCTGTCTCTCTGTGTCAGCCTTGCGACAGACTGGCGATCTGTCCAGGGTGTATCCTGGCTTTCGCCCTATGGCAGATGGGATAGGTGACCTTGATAACGATAAGCGGACGAGAATAGATGCATGGACAATATTGCAACTTGGGTGGTTGTAATATACTGACCCGTTTTAGGTGACACGTCCCATTTAAGTTTCAAGAGTGGTTTGATTTTTGATCACACTGTTCATAACTCTGGATTTAAAATATAGATGGACACATTTTTATTGTAAAAACCATGAAATTGTTTGTATTCCTCCGTTACAACATTCATAGTTTTACTGATACTTAACATAATGGAAGATTTGGAGGTTAAGAGATAATGATGGAGCTACAGAGGCCTTGAGGCACAAACTAAATGTTGAAAGTGAGATGAAACGGCGAAGTACTTTTTTTGCATAAAGAATAAGTCATACTAAATTACATTAAAATATTTTTAGAAAATCTGTAAATGTCTTAAAATAGGATAAAGGAAAAATGATAGATATAATAAAAACAAACACAGACTAAAAGTAAGTCCCAATATAAGATTATAATATAATTTGGTCACTTTAGTCTCTAAAAATAGTTTAGCTGCTTTAGAGTTGCTAAATAATGATCCATTCATTGAATTATTGCAATGAAAGAAGCAATTTGTAGCATATTTGGATTGAAGACTTCTGGTCAAATGTCTAATGACCTGCAACTTAGTAAATAATAGGACAATATCTAAAATATAACAGCTGCTAGGCTTTTGGGGGTTGTTTGTTTTTGGAGGCAGCAAATTTACACTAGAAAGACTCCAAGTGATAAATGCTAAAGATTTTAGATAATGACTTCATAAAGTGGATTTAAATTAAACTGATAATCTGAAGAAATAAAAAGCTTATGACCAGTGCTAATGTGGTTGAAGGTTTTCTCCTGAAGAGGAACTGGACTTTGTGTTAAAACTATAGAAATATAATATGGTAACTATATAACAAAGCAACAAGCACAGCAAAAACAAGCAAACAAACAAAACAGACCCACCTGTGCATGCGATTATGCAGCTGAAGATGAAGGGCCGCCACATCATGGCTTCAACAGATGTGTTCACAAGTGCATCAAAGTTCAGAACTTTCCTCCTGAGTCCGAGATTAACAGATGGATATTTTGGTAGATGCAGATACAGTAAGTCTTCTTTAGCCAGTGGCAAATCTATTCTAGCCTGTACTGTTCAAGAAAAGAGAACTCAAAAAAGCCATACTAGTCTTGTGAAGAACCCCGCCCCCCCAAAAAACCAACAAACTAAAGAAAAGAAAACACACACACACTTGCAGACAAGTTGCAGCGTCTGTTGTTCCGATTTAACACCAGCAGTCTAACAGTCCCTCTGAGAATACTCGTACTTCTGCAAATTACAAGACAGGGAAGGAGCCCTGCTCCACTTACTGGACTTTTTTGTACCATTTTTGTGAATTTTAGTGCAGACAGTCTGAAAACAACTCTGTGCAAATTTAAAATGATTCAAATCACAGTCCACAAATACTAATTTATGACTGACATAATGAATCAGCTGTGATGGATCAAGGACACATCTAAAACCTGCAGGGACACCGGCCCTCGTGGACTGGGATTGGGGACCCCCATTTTAGTCTCCTGTCTATCAGGATGAGTTAAAAAGCTGTCATTTCAAAGTTTCTTAGATGATCAGGGAGTACATTTTACACCCAGTAGTGACATTTGGAGGATTTATCTATGCATTTTAAAGTCTTGTAATATGTGACCCTTGTGTATATTTACTTTTTTAATGTATTTGTAACCCCAAACAGATTCAGTAACAGCAAAGACTGTGGAGCAAGCAGCTCAAGGAAAGGTTTTAGTACAGGTCAGACTTTAAACAGTTAAAAACCAAACTCTGCATGTTTTAACATCTGGTGTCCACTGATCTAAGGTTCATTTACAAAATGCTTCAGAATTCAAAGAGATGAGGTTTTTCAACCACTTGGCACCACTTTCTTTGATTCCCGATATATTGATCACACTTGCTGTACATTTACAATAATGAAAACTACAAGTAGAATTTCATAAGATTTATTTGAAATATTACATATAAAAACTACATACAATTTATCCCACATTAGGTGAACATTTAACAACAACAGCAACAACGTCATGATTAAAAGCACATTTAAAACTCAATGTGGAATGGTACTACATAGAAAGTCCATAGCGGCCACTTGGTGACGCCATTAAATCGCAACTTTTAAGAGAAATCATTTCACCAGCACCAGGACTTGCAGAAGTGATTCTTGATGAAATCTTTACACGCTTAATCAGAGAGCTCCATCTTCTCTTGTTTAATGTTCTCTGTGGAGGGAAAGTAAGTAAGTTAAAATTAATTAATTTTAAAAAACAAAACCACACACTTGAATAAGGATTGGTGCGTTCAAATCTTAAAAGATAATCATACGATTAAACTGAAAGTCACCTGATGCTTGTTCTTCCTTCATCCTTTCTGTGATGCACCTCTTAATCTCAAGCCCAATGGCCCTGGAGAGCGGAGGGGGCACAGCATTTCCAACCTGGAAGGAAACAGAAGCAATTACTTGGCAAGAAGCAGGGAGAGATGTTTCTGGGCAGCTCATAAAATGCAGTAAAGACATCTTCATTTTGGAACTGCAACTCAGTCCAAGATGATAAAGGCCAAAATGACAAGGCCAAAAATTTAAATGCTGCTTATTTTTGTTATCATTTATGTAACAAACGAAAATAATAACACATTAATTTATCCCCCATCACCTAAATTTATTGCCTCTCACAGACATAAAAACTGTACTAAAACAAAGCAGTTTCAAAGTTTATACTTTGCTAGATTCCTGCTACAATGTCTCTGCAAGCCTGACCAAGCGACATCTCCTGAAAGAAAATAGTCATCCCTCACGTGACTTGTACAATATTGTGACTAAAACTCGTAGCAAAGTCACTGTTGCCACTCTTACCTTCTTTGTAGCAACTGTAACCACAAAAATTTCTCAGGGATTAAGAAAAGTATTGTGATTCCAGATTGTACCTGTCTGTGTTTGTCCAGGATGTTTCCAAAGAAGCGGTAGGTGTCAGGGAACCCCTGAGAGCGTGCACACTCTCTCACACTGACAACTCTGTGCTGCTCAGGATGGAGTACACGGCCCTGTAATCAAGAGAGCCTAAGGTCGGTTTCTTTCATTTAAGAAGTGTAAACCATTTCCTGAAACACAAATTAGCTTAAGACTTAAATGCAAGTACTCTGTTTTTTCACTCCTATATTAAATAAATTTGAAGGAATGTTTAATGTAAACAAACTGAAAATAACAAACAAATAAAAAACAAACTTGCGTACCTGCTTGCCCATTGGTTCAGGATTGGTGACTGTTGTGCTGAAGAAACCATCCCATTCCAACCTGCCATAGAGTCCTGCCCAGTGATTATGGCGGTTCCCAGTGTGGGGCAGACACCAGGGGATCAGGGTATTAAACTGCCTGTCTGCAGGGTCACAAGGCTTACCTAAAAAGACATTTGCATGGAAACTATAAGAGATGTATCCCAGATGGAGATTTAAGCTCTACAACTTTTTTTTGTTTGTTTTTTTTTTAAGTCCTGCATACCTCCTGCACAGGTGCAAACACCTCTAAGTGCACCGGTGCCGCTACGCCCATTCTTCTTATCATGATGTGTGTAACGCAGTTTCTTAGTCAGTGTGCCATCCTTCAGTCGCACCTCGATGTTGGGCAGATCCCTCCAGTCGGAGCCTGGAGCCAAGGGGATGTAACGCATCCGACCCTCAACCAGTGCACTCATATCCTGTAATGCAGATCATGTAACTTCTGTCATAAAGTTATTCTTTAATGACTGAAAGAGTGAGCCAACATGAGAACACCACAACTCACCTTGCAGATATGATCTCTGAGGATAGGCTGGTACTGTGTGCCTCTGATCTGCCTCTGGAACCAAGACTGGGGCTCCCCATTGTAGGAAATCTCCAGTGCAGCTGCACCATTGCGAATCTCTGGCAGGTCAGACATGGTATCCCTGACAGTGATAGTTCTGTAGATTCCACCATTGCCTCTGTAGACAGAAATTAGTGACAATGAAGCTTTAATGTCTTGTGAGAAAGATTTGCAACCTAAAAATACAATATAAGCAACCCAGAAGGGGAAAGTGTTTACATTACCGTGTGACATTGCTGACGTATCTCTTTTCACCCACCACAACGCTGAGAGAGCAAGCTCTGGGGGCAAACACATGCAGAGGCTCAGGATAGCGTGGCAGCTTCTCTCCCGGAGCAGCAGCCAGGATGATGGCCCTGCGCCGGGTCTGAGCAACACCGTACTGACCGGCCTAATGAGAGCAGAATGCAGCGTATTAGTGATCCTTTATTGTATGAGAAGAAAATAAAAACCTTATAGCAAACTGTTAGTTAACAACACAAGCTCTGAAATTTGTTCCAAGTCAATTTCATTTTAGCTTCACCCAAAATTTCACAGCAGAAAAGAGGTTTAAGGTCTGACCCACCTGCAAGACACCAAAGGTACACTGGTATCCCATTCGCACAAGACAGCGCAGTGTGAGCTTCAGGACCATAGAGTTTTTGAATGACACAAAGTTCCTCACGTTCTCAAGCAGGAAGAATTTGGGTCTGTAGTAGTCACAGTAGCTGCAATAAGAAGAAACAAATAATAATAAT